AACGTTGTAGCCGGTTATTCAACTGAAACTAAGTTCCTACTCTGATTTTTTGTAGCGCTTGGCTAGAAGGCGTATATCACGTCCGGGAGGTGAGAAGCAGGCTGTTAGGAAAAATACCAAACCAGACGTCAAACAAGACAGCAACACAGATGTATGGAGGTGAGTGGTGTAGCCCAACCATGTCCTTTATTGTTGTTTTTGCTCAACCTATAGGTTCCTTATACATTGTCTCAAACTATATGATTGTCTTTTATTCATTGTCTCAAACTCTAAGTACATGTAACTGTCACTTGATAGGCAGGTGCACAATATTTAAAGGACAAATGTAAATGTCTTAAATAGACATAATCAACATATTACAAATTAAACTCTATCACTTGCGGTATCAGTTAAAATTTTATGTTTTGTGTTTTTGTGCAGATCATACAGGGTCCATCTGCAGCAAGGCGGTCGTGCCCTACAAACTGGAGATCTGGACATGGCGGAGCAGCACTTTGCGTCAGCACTGAAACTTGTCCATCGTAAGTTATAATACTCACATGATTATAATAACGTTATTGGCTATATACTGATGTACCTCTGCTGTCGGTAATACAAGAAGAATGTCTTCGCATTAACAATGGTTGGATTCGTGTGTAGTCAGTCACGTAACCATTAAATGCCAACTAAATGTATTTACCTTGAAGAATGTATCCTTCACTACTTGTGTGCGCCTCATGAGCAGAGCTTTGCAGCATAATTTGAGCCCGTTGTATTGTCCTCACAGAAACAAAACCGACGCAACCAGGTGCAGAGGCACACTGTCTGCACAAGTTGGGAGACGTCTACATCCAGCGGGGGAAGAGAACCGAAGACGGGGGAGACTTCACCAAAGCTGCTGCTCTCTACAACGCGGCAATGGCCAGGTCTGAGGCGGGTGGTTTTAGAGACATGCTCGCCCAAGCCCTCAAGCAGACCGAACAGTTCTTTCTACGGCATGTAGGGGGCGTTGCTTGCGAAATAGATCAGTATGACGTAGATATGGGCCACAAGAACGAGATGAGGGAAACGAGGGGAAAAGTTACGGAAAGACTGGAAACTATTGACCAACGCTACAATCCCTACACACATGATCAAAATGACCCTGAAGTGAGGAATCTCGAGACGGCAAGAGCTACCGCAGTGATGGAGCTCTTCCAAGAAATAACACATGACAGACAGACATTTGTGGATAGACTTATTTCTGAGTGCATTGGTCGCATTGGCCCACCGCCATGTAGGTATGCCTTCATTGGCTTGGGCTCACAAGCAACAGAACTAGTCACCCCATTCTCCGATCTAGAGTTTGCGATTCTGCTCGAGGAAGAGGCAGACTCTGAACATAATAAACAATATTTCCGTAACCTAACACACTACTTACATCTAAAGATCATTAACCTGGTCGAAACTATCCTACCTGCAATGGGAATAAAATCTCTCAACGATTTCTACTCCGGTGATCGTAAAAGTAGCTGATCTATGACTCCATTACGACACGCGGATTCGCCTTCGATGGGTCGATGCCGTGGGCAAGCAAAACGCCATTCGGCAGACCGCGCACGAAAGACAAGCCTCCATTGGAGCTAATTCAAACCCCTGGTAACATGGCGAAGTTTCAAGAGGTGGACATCGCTGTAGCAGAGGGCTATCACTTAGCTCGCATCCTGCGAAGCGCGTGCCACATGGCTGGCGACATGGCTTTAGTCGAAGAGTATATGAACATCATGGCCCAGACCACTCATCACGTAGACCCAGATGGTAATGTAGACATTGGTCATATCACGACAAACATCCGAGAATTCGGCTCACAACAGCTAAGTGCACAGCTTTTAAGTGTAAAGAAAGAAATATATCGCTTCCCTGCCATGGTCATTCAGAACTACTTAGTACGCTTTCTTCTGTGGCATACAGACGACTAGTATGTGGACTACAGTAGAACAATTGAAAAACGAAAACCTCGTGAGTGAAGAAAACGCGCCCATCACCTTGCAGTCTTGGTCGGAATCTCAGCAGAACTGAGACTGAGAACCTATCTTGCCAATGGCAGTCAGAGGGAAAACGTTTCAGCTCTGCAACGTGTTGATACGGAAAGTTCAGTCAGTAGTGGTGCCCTTGATTCAGTCTTCTACATTCCCACCCGAAGCATGTTGTTCAGGTACTACTACTCGGCAGAACCTCTTCGAAAAATCGCGCTGAAGCCCAACGAACAACAGAAGGCAATGTTTCTGGAAACGACCATATTTGACGCGTCACCACGTGTAAAGGGAGTGATGCAGATAGAAATGTGTAATTTCAAGAGTGCCCAACGGGAGTTGGAAAATGCACTTGAAGACGCGCAAGCAAACAAGACAGAAGAGTACGAAGAGATAGTAAGATTACTTGCAAATGTTTCTTATCGTCTGGGTCATCTTAAGAAAGCGATACAGTACAGCCATGTGTCCTTGGAGATGGAAAGACGTCGACATAGACATGGCGTACATCCAAATATCGCCGTTTCATTAAACACACTTGGCTCGGCTTGGAGCGCCTTGGGTGACCAAGAAAAGGCAATAAGCTTCTTGCAAAAGGCATTGGACGTAAAAAGACTGACCTACGGGTGCAATTCTAACCATCCAGACATTGCTGCTATACTACAAAATATAGGCAATTCCTGGAAGCTTCTTGGCAATTACGAAAAAGCACTTGGTTTCTATGAGGAAGCACTAGCAATGGGAAAACGCTTCTTCGGGGAAGATGCAGCACATGCACACGTTGCCTTATCACTGAAGAACCTTGGTGTGACTTGGAGGAATCTAGTCGAGACACGGAAAGCAATCTCTTTCTACGAAGAGGCGCTGAAGATGTTCAAACGTACTTACGGACATGAATCTATACATCCAGACATTGCAGACACACTCAACGAGCTAGGGAAGGCCTGGAGAGACCTGGGTGACTACAATAAAGCAATTACCTTCTTCACACAGGGGCTGCACATGTTCAAGTTGATCCATGGTCAGGACGCAGTTCATGATGACATTGCGAACTCGCTTTACGACCTGGGGAATGCTTATAGAGAAGTTGGCCACTACAGGAAATCAATTGACCTTCATGAAAAGTGTCTCAGGATGGATGAACTCACATTTGGGCACAATGCCGTTCATGGAAATAATGCAAATACATTCAACAGCCTTGGCCATACTTACTTTTCACTCGGTGATTACCGAAGAGCTATTAGTTTCTTCGAGAAGGCACTCGACATACGAAAGCGCATTTCCGACTCGTCAAATCTAGACATTATGAGTTGTGTCAACAACCTTGGGGCAGCTTGGAATAGTCTGGGGGACCACAGGAAAGCAATCAGTTTCTATGAACAGGCCCTGAAAGTGCAGAAGCTTATGCCTGAAAAGATTGCAGCGCCACACATTGCAAAATCACTCAGTAATATGGGAAAAGCCTGGACGTGTCTTGGTGACATTCGGAAAGCCATCACCTTGTTCGATGAAGCACTGAAGATACATCAAATTGTGCATGGAGAAGATGCGGTGCATCCTGACATTGCTGGATCACTAAATAACCTAGGTGGAAGTTGGGCTCTGCTTGGAGAACATAGGAAAGCCATCGACTACTACGAGAGAGGTCTCAGGTTGGATAGACTAATCTATGGAAAGGATGCGGCACATCCTGATATTGCTGCAATGCTCAACAATATCGGTGAAGCATGGGGTTCCTTAGGTGAGCACAAAAAAGCTATCGACACCTATGAACAGACCCTGAAAATGCACAGGGCCATCCATGGACCGACCGGGGCACATCCAGACATTGCAGCATTACTAGTAAATTTAGGCAAGTCATGGGGGAACCTCGGAGATCACAGCAAATCCATACAGTTGTATGAAGATGCATTGGATATGAGCAGACGTGTCTATGGAAGGAACGCTGCACATGCCCTCACTGCAAATATTCTCTCTGCACTGGGCACCGCCTGGTGTAAGACAGGGGACACCAGGAAAGGAAACACCTTCCTCGAACAAGCCAGAATCATGAAGAAGCTTATTCATGATCATAATGCCGCACGGTCCTCAAATGCTCTTTGATCTCGACATGTTCTTATCAGCAATGGTGTCTGTAGACTGTAGAAAAATAAATCACAATTGCCTTTACTTAGTTTTGTTTTTACTACTTTGTTCAGGGCCTGGGTATGTAAACTACATTTGAACAAGAGTGGAGTCAAAAATATCATAGGTTATGTTAAAATGGTTATGTACAGCAATATTTATAAATTGTGGAAGATCTGAATGTGGAAGATCTGAATGTGGAATGTTATTTGTTTTCAAGGACTTCACAGAATTATTAGTTTTGGCACATGCGGGCAGTTGGGCTCGGGTACCCTTTAAACCGGTGTTCAGCGTAGAGCGGTAGTGTGACCCTGCAGGCCCAGCTGGATACACACTGGCTCTTCTGGTTCCTCGCTGTACATATGTATGTCTGAGGTTTATTCAATACTGAAAAAAAGAAGAGAGCAAGCGCCCCGGGAACATAGTCCCCTGGGTTGTTACTGGTCCTCCACTAAGTTGTCTCAGCAGGACCTGGATGAACAGCTGGGCGCCGTTACAGAAATGCGGACAGAAGGATCTTGTCGGAAAGGAGAGGATATAAAGTAAGGCCAAGAAATTCCGGCGGAACTTGACGTCAGGCGGCTCAAAAAATGTAAACTAAAATTGCAACCTCTTTTCATACACTGGATGAAAGATAATAGTTTTGGCCAACAATCAGCTTACAGCGCACGCCCAGGGGTTGTAATGTCCTTGATAAGGATTTGACTACAAAGAAAAAACACGAGAGCTTGTTTCCCCATTACCGGAAATGGAAAACCCTTATGTATAATCAAGGAAGGTATGAAAAAAATCCTAATTTTCACAATAGCCCATCAAGCGAGGCATAGCGACAGCACCCATAATCCATAAAGCGAATAAAAGGTAAAACTAGGTCAAACCGAATCACCGCACACAAGGCGTAAGGGCACCCGGAAGTAAGCCGCGGTCTGTAGTTCATTTTCGCCCCAAAAACAGCATGTCTTACATGTCTAGACATCTTCGTAGTTAATGCATATTATCAGCAAATTAATTGAGTAGTGTAAAATAATACCTGAACAAGAGACAGCCTTTTATCTCTTTCCTTACCGCGCACTACCACGGACCCCTGTCGCGGAAGAAATTGTGTGTGATCTTCCCCTCCCCCCACTCGTAGCCCTCCCTGATCATTGCCCCAACTCGTAGCCCTCCCTGATCATTGCCCCCACTCGTAGCCCTCCCTGATCATTGCCCCCACTCGTAGCCCTCCCTGATCATTGCCCCCACTCGTAGCCCTCCCTGATCATTGCCCCCACTCGTAGCCCTCCCTGATTATTGCCCCCACTCGTAGCCCTCCAGATAGCGTCTTTTAAGATCAATTTCGTTGACCTTTATTGAATCATCAGTAGAGTATACAAAAATAAAGTTGAAGTAGTTAGTCTGGGAAGACCTTGTAAGGATTCAAGATTCCTTTTGGATCCATCAGTTTCTTAAGTTGTTTCATGAGAAGTACAGCTGATCCAGTGTTACTGTGATAGAGGTAGTCTCGTTTCAGTATCCCCATCCCGTGTTCAGCGCTCACGCTTCCCTTATACTTGGCGACCCAGTCATAGACCCACGGCTCTAGGGCACCAAAGACGTCCTCACTGTTCTGCGGGCATGTGACGTTCAGATGAATGTCGCTCTCCCCGAGGTGTCTGTAACCGACCACCCTGGTCACATCTGTCCCCATCCGCTTTCTGGTGTCCGCTACGAGGTCGTAGAACCTGGACATGGGAACCGTGACGTCGTACTTGTAGACACAGCCGTCCGCTCGCAGAGCCACCGCCACGTTTTCCCTTAACGCCCATAGAGTCTGGAATGATAGTGAAATTGTTGCAATTGTTGAAATTGTAATTCACTTTATGTTCACTGCAGCAAAAGTTCACGGTCTGAGAAATATGGACATGTTCACGGAACTATATATTCACTGTGGTGACAGGTGCAGGAAAAAGAAAGTCCAGGAATTATTTGTCAACTGTAATGATAAGTTCACGGTACAGAAGTGACAGTGTAAACAGTGAACATAACAGTAAAGTGAGAAAATGAGAGTGTATGGCAAACTCTTGTGTGTACCAACTACAATATAATAAATGTGGGGTCGTAGCACCAGAACAGGTCTTGATACTCGACCTGGACTTTGGAAGGTTCCGTTGCGACAGTGCCGTCATCCACAATCCCCTTCTCCATCACATGTCCCAGCAGGCTGTTCAGCTTCTCTTCGTCGTGAGCGGCGTTTGAGCCTGACGTCTCTACCAGTAGGTAATAGCTGTGAGTTCCCAGGGGACATGTCAGGTGGAGGTTCTCCTGTACCACCTCCATACTGGCTCGGTCCATGAACTCTACTGCAGATAGGATCTCCTGTAGCATTCTCTTAGCAGCATTGTACGTTTGCAGAACTTGGGCAAACGAGTCACACCCTAAAGCATGATGAGAGATTTAGCAACAATATCAGACACATTCCATAGCACTTAGAAAATATCAGCATGTTCGATCAAATCAGTGATAGACGATTACATATGCATCATAGCAGATAAGATTTGATCTTACCAATTCATATCACATTTTGATGTCATACATTACATTTTGTTACAGCATTTAGCTTGTACATAAATGTACGAGTTTGAACCAGGCTAATGACATATTATTCAATCATATACGTTACTGCGTTCCTGTTTTAAAAACTAGATCGTGAGAGAAAATACTAGTAAGTAGTGTGGGTACGGGCCGTGACTTAGACAACTCACCCAACAGAGCGACGCTGACGGCAGCAGGTACCCTGGGACAGAGAAGTGATGCAGCGGTCACGACTCCGAGCGATCCCTCTGAACCAATAAACAGCTGCTTCAGGTCGTACCCAGTGTTGTCCTTCCTCAGGGTAGACATGCAGTCGACTACATCTCCATTCGCCAGCACCTAAGTAAATATATGAAATTAGACAGTTAAATTCCATTCACTTATAATAACGATAAGTTCTTCCTTACATTCAACTGGTCACAAATTGCTAAGACAATTGTCAGCATTCTGACAGTCATTGGCTATGAATTGCATTCCAAAGCAACAACGACTGATATAGACAATTTGGCAAAGCCTTTTAATTAATGCCTACTCCCTTAAAATCGTAACACGTGATACATGTACTTACGGCTTCAACCCCAAGGACGTTGCCATGGAGATTGCCATATCTGAGCATGCGCAGACCTCCTGCATTAGTGGAGATGTTGCCGCCGATTTGGCAGCTGCCCTTTGACCCCAGAATGTGCGGCGTCATCAAACCATGTGGCTCCAGGGCGCCGTTAATTTTATCTACAACACAGCCGGCCTGGCATACAAGTACACCTGCAGAAATCATGAGAGATGGGAAGGGTGGGTACGACTCTACCGAAAATCATTTGGTCTCAAGCACCCAATCGTCCGGATGCACTTCTTTCTTTGATCTTCTAGTGTAAAAGATTAGATCACCTGTCAAAGAGCAAGGTGACAGATGGGTTCTAGCCCCTGTCTGTGACTTCAATTCCATATGAATTTTATTACACTTCTCAAATGATCGGAAGCGTTTACCAATTGCAATTGCTGCACAACCATTACTAGTATCGCTGTAACGATAAGTCAAGGTGGGCAAAGATATCAACGCCAAGTACTGTACCTATATAACGTCGACCCTTTCTTACTTCCTAAATTTTTTCTTTCTTCTTTGTTTCTCAGTCGTCTGTTTAAGCCCACCTGAGATTTCGTCCAGACTGATGATGTTGTCCATGAGGGAGAGTGAGATGATGACTTCGTCGAACACCGGCACGCTGCCGCCCACCAGGCCCGTGTTCCCGCCCTGCGGCACCACAGCCAGTCTCCGCCCGCTACAGTACCGCAGGACGGCCGACACTTCTTCTGTCGTCTTGGGACGGAGAAGTACCTGGCCATCGCCTGGACAAACATACATACATACATATACATGTACACACATGTACAAGGAACATTTCATACTCGGTAAGGTATTGGGTGGAAAGTATCAAGGGAAGGGGCAGCGGACTGAGTGTACCAGCGTAGTAGGCGATCTGTACCTGGTTCTTGCCCTTGGCAATGTGATTATATACTAGTACACGTACCTGCCGAACACCATTATTTATTATTTACGGCACTGTTACACCTTGACAAAGCTACTGAGTACGTTAAATTGATTGAGGCAAACAAGTGTCATCATCAATAATTGATGAAAAGATAGGTCTGTTTGCGTGGGTGACTGTCTGTTGACGCTTCATATTTACATGGCCCAAATTCTTCATTATATTCATTTAACAAATAAAAAGTACAGCGCTTGTGTTTAACTTTCATTCTGTAAAATACATATTGGCATTAATACATTTCAATGACCTGTAACAAGATAAATTGTACCTCTGCAGGTTCCGGACCAGTCCACGTTATGCCCCTCAATGTCCTCCAGATCGGTCAGCACTCGTGACGGGACCAGCCGCTCAAAAACCTGCAGGTCGCTGTCTGTCACCCTCGCAAAATCCCCCCTCTTCAGCTGAGGAAAACGCTCCGAACTCAACTGAACGCCTCTGGGCTTTTGAGCCAAGGTTGCAGTGCCGTGTAGCCACCTTTTCCTACCATCAAAGCTGTCAATCGTGTCATTTCTACCTTTTGTGTACCGCAATGGCAGAGACGGGGCAAATAGAGCGTTATGAACACGAGGCGACAAGCATTGTTCCAGTGTATACCCGATGACTTGGCTAACGTTACGTCTCATTGTCAAGCGTAGTCGTTAAGGTGACTCACGGGTATACATTGGCATAGCGGCACCTGGAAGAAGAAAAAAATAGTTACTTTTTTTTTTTTTAATTATTGATCATTGTAAATTCTCAATTCACAGCTTTTTGCTCTGTCGAAATTATGTATTAATAAGTTAGATTAACGTTGCGTAAGCTGAAGCTGTGTCGCTTTCAAATAGAACCATAACATTAATATTTTTAGGCGGTAACTGTTATATATGATATCATAAGACGGGGTTGACAATGTGACATCATCACTAAATGTGAATACTAGTATTAATCACAGCAAACAACACAGTGTACTCGCCAAAAACGATCAGAGCATCTGTGCTGTCGTTCATTTTGGGTCATCCACGTTCTGTAAAACGTGACGATCATTTGCCGCTTTCATCATAAGATGATGTTAAACAATGATGGGACCTCTACAGGCCCAAACCAGGATGAAGCCGTTTTGTGCGAATATTTGAACGATTACGTTTTTCCATCACTGAAATGAAACAGCAAGATAAAGAATATAGTACATACCCAGGCCTGTTACGACTGGCAGCTGATATCTGAGACCACAATCTAATGTTGCAGAGCAGGTTTTATTTAAAGGCTTAGTATTTCAGCTCCGCCGGTCAAAGGTCTCGCGAGACCACACCAGGTACGAGAAGAGAGCCAACATGGCGGCCAAACGGCGCATGGACGCGCAAGTTCCCGCGGAGGAGAGCGATTTACTCAGCATTAGACCGCTGTAAGCTCCTCTTTTACAATGTAGAATTTCCTATATTATCTAGGGGTCATCAAAATGGTTCTCGTCTGAATGTAGCTTTAACGTGGACGAAAGAAAGCAGTGTCTTTGTCCTACCCCCCTCCCTCACGACATCTTGTCCATGCATCGCTATCACAGCAACTTGACCATGTGAAACACGCGTTTTATTTTCCAGGGGTGCAGGACAGGAGGTGGGGAGGTCCTGTCACATGCTGGAGTTTAAAGGGAAGAAGATTATGGTAAGTGCATGCTTCGTGCGTCGTGATAAATCAAATTATGTAGAAACACATTCTAAGCTGAAAGACCAAGATCCTTCTTTGTTTATGTATGCTTGACCTACATGTAGGCCTGCATTGGCTTAAAGCCCTTTTTTCTGATTTCATAAATTTTCAAGGTGTGCCTAAAGATTTGCCACTTACTAATATAGAGATACTTGTACTAAGTTGTAGCAGCACAAGTTTCTGTTTACAGACCTTGACATAATTTGTTACCGGTAGTTGAATCTTTCAAGCTTTCACATCTTGAAGAGCTTGGCAAAAACTGTAACATTTAGGTTATTTTTGGTACTTCCAGACTATTTGTTGTCCAATAGCATAAGCCATTTTTCTTCCATCCTCTGCAGCTTGATACCGGGATCCACCCAGGACTGAATGGGTTGAACGCCCTGCCGTTCCTTGACCTGATTGACCCTGAGGAGATTGACCTCCTGTTAGTTAGTCAGTAAGTGTGCATTGTATTAACCCTATTTTAGTATTTACATTCTCAATATGAACAAGTATCAGATAGTGTTAAAATATTGTCACTTGAAATCATGATTTTCCTTATTTCTGATTTATGCATGTTTTCATTTTGCTATATGGAGAGGATAGTGTCCTTAATTAGATGCTATAAAGACATGGGTAAACATGAACCAAGTTCAGTTAAGACATAAGTATGGTATGTAACAAATGCTCTCAGAAATAGCTCTTTGATCTATTGAATGAAGAAAGTTATATATATATATATTTACTCTTGTACAATTTTAACATACAGTATAGTGACAGTAGTAATGACGTGTTTTCTCTACCATCCTATTAATTCCTAGCTTCCATCTGGACCACTGTGGAGGCCTACCGTACTTCCTGACTAAGACCAGTTTTCGTGGGCGTGTCTTCATGACTCATGCCACTAAAGCCATCTACAAGTGGCTACTGTCTGATTACATCAAAGTCAGGTAAGGCCAGCACTTAAAAATCAGATTCTCTACACTACCGGTAATCTCTCAACACAACACAGGTATCTTTTGATGCTGGTACAATATTTCTGCGTAAATTATTATAGAGGATAGTAAAAAACATCCTTACACAGTCCAAAGTGAAGTGACTGCAATGTTTTAATTGTCTTTGTTGTCTACATCTATCTACATCTACATAAAAAAGGACAAAGTGCCTCATCGCAGATCACATTGTAATGTTGTTGTTTTTTTTTTATATTCCAGCAACATTTCATCAGAAGACATGTTGTATACAGAAAATGACCTGAGTGCCAGCATGGATAAAATAGAAACAGTCAACTTTCACCAGGTAAGAAGAAGTACTGAAAATGGATTTTGCAAAACAGCTGAAATTTAATGCATCCAATTTATATGTTTACAATTTACAGAAACAGAATTTACATGTGTACTGCTGTACATCTGCTCAAAAATGTTTTTATCATCTTTCACACCATAGGAGACGGATGTGAATGGCATCAAATTCTGGTGCTATAACGCAGGCCACGTGCTGGGTGCAGCCATGTTCATGATTGAGATCGCTGGTGTAAAGATCCTGTACACGGGAGACTTCTCTCGTCAGGAGGACAGACATCTCATGGCAGCAGAGGTGCCAGCCATCCACCCAGATGTCCTCATTATTGTGAGTTCTCATCACAAATTCCACAAATGGCTCAAAATCCTTTTTGCTGCATTGAAACATTTAACGTTACCTACACCAAGCCAAGTTCACACTCAGAATTTAAGAAGTACATTGTATTATGCATCCAATTAAACACTGTTTACCTGCACCTGCCAATGGTATGACAAGACAATAGTTTAGTTCATGTCTAAGATCTAGATGTCATAGAACTTTATGTTTGCATGAAAGTCCATCTGTGTCAGTAGCCAACATAGCAGTAAATGTTGCTAAAAGTTTTATGGTGTGTTTCTGCTAATACTTGTGTATGACATTTTTATCAAGGAAGCGACATACGGTACGCACATCCATGAAAAGCGAGAGGAGAGGGAAGCCCGCTTTACCAGCACTGTACACGACATCGTCAACAGGGGAGGCAGGTGTCTCATACCAGTGTTCGCCCTGGGGAGGGCACAGGAGCTGCTGCTGATCTTAGGTCAGATACAAATGGAATACATTTTGTACATCCTACTTTTACAAAAATCGGTCACATTTTATGGATTTTTTGTTGTTAGATGATTAGTGTGACTGTGTCTAAGAAAGACATTGCTATTTTTCAGAAAAATAGTAGTATAGTGTTTTGCTGTGATATTTTGAATTTTGACAATATGTTGAATTTCTTTCATGCAGATGAGTACTGGAGTAACCACCCTGAACTACATGACATCCCCATCTACTACGCCTCCTCACTGGCTAAGAAGTGCATGGCAGTGTACCAAACTTACATCAATGCCATGAACGAGAAAATACGCAAACAGGTCAGTTGGTCAAGAATAGGGAAGCAAATCACATATTACACATTAAGAAGATTTTGACAACTAAATTCATGAGTTATAAGTTATCTGCCTAAAAATTTTGTTATCAAAATCTTCTTGGTATTCTGTTTTTTTGTATACACTAAAAACAACACCTTACTGAAATAAATTTGTAGTCTCCACCTACCTGCCTTTCTTGTTGTATTGATGATAGTGTTTTTTTCTTGCAGATTTCAGTCAGCAATCCATTTGTGTTTAAGCACATCTCCAACCTCAAGGTGAGAGTACAAAACTTGCAATTCCTGGTACTGACATTTATAAGACATGATTCTACATTCTGATTTCAATGGTGCCACATTGATATGATAGGAAATGTGGTTTCATACATATTTAAAGTGGGAAATGAATAATGTTGGCATAAACAAAAGACCACTGAATGTCATCCAGTTTTTAAACCAGGGATTGGGGTAACCTGTGTTTCTTGTCCACGTTAGGGCATGGACCACTTTGATGACATTGGTCCATCCGTGGTGATGGCCAGTCCTGGTATGATGCAGAGTGGACTGTCCAGGGAACTGTTTGAGAGCTGGTGCACTGACCGACGGAATGGCTGTATCATCGCAGGCTACTGTGTGGAGGGGACACTGGCCAAGGTTAGTGTCAGAAACAACAAATGAATGAATGAACCAACTTTATTGTTTAAAATTCGTGCATGGTGTAATGTATAAGACTAAACTATCCTAAAAACTGCAAACTATTATCAATAAAGCATATGATTAGGGGGGTGTCAAAGTTTTTTTACAGCAAGCTGCACAATGTTGGAAAACGAGGATTTCTACAAATACAGTGCAAATCTGATTTTCTCTTGAATAGATGGGAGACATGCAGGAACTAAACCTTGTTGATATGTAAACAAATGTGTCTTGTTTTGTAGCACATCATGTCAGAACCAGAAGAGATTACCACCATGTCAGGCCAGAAAATTCCACTCAAATGTTCAGTAGGTGAGTGAACACACATACAGCCATTGGTCATAAAGGCCTTGATGTCAACTTTCTGAATGTTATTGAAGTGATTAATCTTTTGAAGTTTTGAAGTCTAAAGTTATCACTCTTACAATCATTGACCAAGTCAGCCATCTATTAAAATTTTGGTTTTCTGATTTCTATTTATTGTAGGGCCTGTCTGAATGCTTATGAAGTGAATAATCTTCTGACTTTTTTCCCCCAGATTACATTTCCTTCTCGGCTCACACGGACTACCAGCAGACAAGTGACTTCATCAGACAGCTCAAGCCTCCACATGTGGTGAGCAACCACCAGTGAAAATGTTTAACTAAATTAAGAATTAAATGACATTACATTTTAGATGTTATGAAGCAAGTTTAAAGCAATGTGCAATGCAAGAAATTACACAAATTTTCAACTGTACAACTCCAGTCTTTGTCAAGGAATGAACAATCCACTGCTTTTGTGATGCTTAAGCATGTTACGCAGATGTGACTCAGTGACATTTAGATGTCTTCATATATATTGATGAGAACATATGTTATGGTGTTATGTGACAACTGTTATTATATAACAACATAATTTCTTGTTTGCCAGGTGTTGGTACACGGAGAGGCAAATGAGATGAGCAGACTGAAGGCAGCTGTTATCCGTGAGTACGAGGATGATCCAGACGTCAACATTGAAGTGCACAACCCGAAAAACACTCAGGCTGTGGAGCTGTACTTCAGGGGAGAGAAGATGGCCAAGGTAGGAAAATTCCTCAAATTGTGACTATGAGAAATGCCTGTAGCCTGGAGTTCAGCCTTGTTAGCTTTGGTCTACTTTCAAAGATTGGCTACCCTGTCAGGTAGCAGTTCTTGGGTAGGGGACTAAAGCTAACAAGGCTGAATACCAGGCTGACTCAGAATTGAGAGATATATACTAGATCATATAAATGAACCTATGTCTTGAACAATTTGTAGGTTTGAATAATATGTTTCAGTTATTTTGATTCTCCTCTTGTTTGTCTCTTGTTCAGGTGATGGGTTCATTGGCATCCAAGAAGCCAGAGCAGGGAGACCGCCTGTCAGGAATCCTGGTGAAGAGGAACTTCAACTACCACCTGGTCGCTCCTTCTGACATCTCTAGTAAGAAAACTAGCATTGTTCTCATCTGGTCACAGTCAGTACTGGCTTTACTTAAGCAACATGTTCAGGTTGAAGATGTAAAAATGGCAGTCCAATATATTTTCTAGAGTCAAACCTTCAGTCCACTACTTCTCTCAAAATAAGTGAGCTTGCAAAAACCTGTCAGATGACAATATTGATGCTTGTACATGTACTTACATATCAAGACTACAGAACTAGTCTGGTATTACACATGTGTCCAAGTACCAGTGTTGGTTTTTAAGGAGTTATTCTGACCATGACTGTGACCTGATCATGATATGGTAACCATTTTATGTGTTGTTAATACATGTATACATGTGTCTGTTGTTGTTGTTGTACAGATTATACAGACCTAGCGACCAGCACAGTGACCCAGAGACAGAGTATCCAGTATGTGGGGCCCTTCAGTCTGCTGCAGCAGCACCTCATGCTCCTGTCTGGGGATGTGGAGCAGATCGAGGTACAGGAGAAACCTGCTCTCAGGGTCTTCAAGGCTGTCACCATCATCCAGGAGCCTGGCATGGTCGTCTTGGAGGTATGAGTAGTGGGGCTTGAAGGAAGCACGATGGTAGAATGTACTGCACCCTTGCAAACCCGGATTGGTCACTGGTCACATGCAGGTTGGATGCTTAGTTGCACCAGAATTTTACACTCCAATTTTTGCACATGCACAGTCATGACCCAATACTACTACAGCTAGTCAAATTATATTCTTAGCAGTTGCTACCAGGTAACCTAGAAACATGTATAATGTAATTTTTTTTTCTGATGAGGATTATAATTGTTCTTTCCCACCCATAGTGGACTGCCAACCCAGTGAACGACATGTTTGCTGATGCAGTTGTGACAGTCATCCTGAAGGTGGGAACCGACCCTAAGATGCAGAAAAGTAAGTACATCAGTTTTGCTATCAAAAGTTGAAAAGAAAACAGCTGTAGATTTTTTACAGTGATGTGACAGTGAATAATGTGGCTATTTGGTCATCATCCCCAAAATCCCAATGTTAAAAGTCACCACAAGGATTTGAAGTGCAATGTACAATGTCATTTACCATCCCATTTGCATGTTCTCAATTGAAGTTGACCTATCTCTTGCATGATGAACTATAGAACTGCTGTGAATTTCTGCTCAATCAGGGTTTTTGACACTGAATTGGATCTCTTGTTTGGATGTTTGTTCATTCTCCAGTCATACCTTCACCAACAAAGACCAACAAGCAGCACTTCACCGACAAGCTGACAGACCTGATGACAGACCTGTATGGGGAGAAGGCCATCACACACATGACTAAAGGTGACATCATGGCTGTCACTGTGGACGGGAAAACTGCAAACATCTGTCTGGACACTCTGGTGAGGAACTGTGGCTGGGATAAACCTTTTAACTGTGCCGTAGTACGACATGCAGTAATGTAGTGACAGTTTTCAAATCTCATCCAGTTTCTTGAATACCTGTAACTGTTTTCTTGTGCATCGCATTGCCTGGATGTTTAACCTTCATCGACGTACATGAACTTATATTTGAATTTGTTGTCAGTACTAGTAAGTTGTAGCAAGCATGTAAGTAGAAGAATAAGTCTCGGCCAGTATTATGTATCTGCCCATTAACTTTCTACAATTATGGATGAACTGAAGAGTTTTTGCATTGGGTAAACTAAAATAACAAAATATGTTGCCACACATAAAGTTATTTGGAGGAAATATCAGACTTTAAACAATCATCCCAATGTTTAGACTTGTGTTGTATGTGAAATCAGCTTAAACCATTGGGCAAGTTGGTGTTGTAATGTCTGACCAGTTTTGTTTTGTTTTTTTGTCCAGGAGGTGGAATGTGAAGCTGATGAAGACTTCCAGCAGACTGTGTCCCAGTCTGTCAGCAGACTCTATCATTCCCTCACTCCTGTCTACAGATAGTCAACACCATCCTTCATTCCAAGTTATTCTCAAGAGACTATAGTATTCTGTGTGATGAGAGTCATATGTTTTTTACTGCTGTGTCTAACAGTGTCAAAATTGTTAACCCAAAAAATCATAGTGTGTAAGTACATTAATGTACATCCCCTTTTCGTGATGTTGTCCACTTGAGTTTGTGAACAGGTGTATGTTAACAGTAATGATGTTATTGTCAACAGTCTCGATGTATGTTGGGCTACAAGGTTTTGACCTATATGGCTGTTATTTATATACTGTTCTATATATATAGACAGACACAGCCCCCTAAGACCTGTGGGGCTTAAGTCAAATAGCTGAGTGCTTTTAAGGTCTGAAGCTCTTATACAGCTTAGGTTAGTAAAGCCTTGCCAAGAAGTTATTTAAAGTTGGAGCTCTTTGAAAATTTTGTACAAAATAAACATCTTCTTTGAGGTACATGTAAGGTTGGTCATTGAGCATTTTAAAACATTACTGGGTAAGAAATTTGAAAAAGGGAGTAAATTTTTCTTGTGGCTTTATATGCACCACTCCTCTTAAATAGATTAGTAATGTAGGTACACATGTAGCTAGGTCTAATATACAAAATCATTAACACAAAACACCATATGTTGATGAAAATTTTAATGACAAAATGAACATCCCTTCTATACATGACATGGATACAATTATAATTTCCTTTATGCTGAAATTATCAATGTCTACACCAGACAAACTTCAGTTATCCACCAATGCAATTCATCAACACATTCGTAGACCTGGCTATGCCAAGTGAGAGGTGCAGTTTTGTAACATCATCACTGTTACAACGCTCTAAGTGACTTACACATACATGGTTCTGAAGTCTGCCTGGTGTAGGGAACTTGTGAATTTACAATTATTCCAGACTTTGTACATCACTCCTCTCACCAACGTCCTTTTTTCATCTTCATTTCTCGCACTTTTTGACATCAATCCAAACACAGGCATTCCTGAGTTGATTTTAAATTGACACCACAAAACCTTTACAGAATGACATATTTCCAATCACTCACACCTTTACATGTAACACAGTAGTATGATCCAACCTTCTCTCTTGGACCAGTCTCTCTCATGTCTTAGAGATGGTAACATCTTTTTTCAACCTCTCGTGCTACAATCCTCAACTACTACTTTGTACTTTCCTTTGCCCTTTCCTTTCTCATCTCTTGGTCACTCACTTTTGCAGCAAATATGTTATGACCTACTGTAGAGAATTTAAGAATGAAGTATGATACAACAATACAGTATTTCCTTGTATGATCCTCAATGGGCTCGAACACAGCGCCCTAATAGAAACCTTAAAATAAGTGAGAAACAAACATCTATGTGCTGGGAGCTTGTGAATATGCATGTAAGAAAATCCTACATGGAGAAAATCTTGCGTTTCATCAGGACACCAGCCTGTAGAATTTCTAAGCGTTTTTTCTGCATAGGAGTTGTAAGGCGGGGGTGCTAAAATTCAACTTGAACTATTCCTCTTCATCTCCGTGTTCTACCTTCTTGAGTATGCTGACACACCAGTGGTAACACCTGGGCTCCGGTAGCGAGCCGGAGTACGCCCATTTATCGTACGTCGGGTCGTAACACTCGATCAAGTTCGACTCGGCCAGCTCACCGAACCCGCCCGACACGAAGATCTTCCCGTCGATGACACAAACGCTGCCGCTGGAGTGCATAGCTTTCATCGGTGCCACTTCCACCCACTGGTTCGCGATGGGATCGTACGCGTCAACTTCCTTGGAGTCGTCCCGCAGGTAATATATCAGCCCGTTCAGAGTGATGGACTGCGGCACTTGGGACCATTCCGGCATGACGGAGTTGTCGATGAAGTTCCACGTGTCCGTCGAAGGGTCGAAACATTGGAACAGGATCTTCTCACTGCCCTGGGACCGGCCGTTCACGTACAGCTTCCCCCGGCAAGCCGCCACTGTGAAGTCATTCATGGCTTTGATCATCGGCTGGACCTGTAGAAATAAGGATAGTAGAACTAACTCAGTTGTTGCAGGGCAACAGCTATGCGGTAAAAGGAAATAGTCCATTTTAATGTTTCAGATTTTGACCAGTCAAGTATAAAATACAGTCAAAATAGTATGGAATATCCTAAATAATCTTCAAGCAGATCCTACAGTGGCAAGACAGTATCCATCGGCCAGAGGATTGTCCACTAGTCACCGAAAATCACCGAGACCACCGTAGGATCTTCTTGGAGATCACTTCTATATTCTCCACCAATGATGCTATATTTCTCTCACAGGAGGGGAACCTATGATGTGCCGGGAAATGGAATCCTCACCTCTTCCCACGAGTTAGAGAACGGGTCATATCTCTCCACATCCGCCACCGGCCCGTTGATGTCCGTCCCGCCCAGTAAGTAGATCTGCCCGTGCAGCACCACGGTCGCGCGGCACTTGTACGACTTGAGCATGGGCGCCATGGTCATCCAGCGGTCCGACTGGGTACTGTACTTCCAAGTGGTGGCGCAGCCATCGCTCGTGATGGTCTCGTCCGTCGTGCCTGTCACGTAAATGTCGTTTCCGAGGGCAACAACTGCATATCTGGGGATAGAGACCGGAAAAACAGCATTACTAGAGTTTTATGAATTATATAGCATCAGATGAACATACATTTTGCACTTTAGATAATGTGCGTACTTCAAGGTAAAGCTTGAAGCCTTGGGAGAGCCACACCTAAAGTGTGATAAAGAACCCACCACACTTTTCGAAAAAGAGAAGGGGTGTGTCCAAATCCTTCAGTATGGCGTTGGTGACTTACTTCAAGCACCCGGACGGAGGCCTGGCGAACCCCGTCTTGTATTAAGCTAACGAAAGAGTATATTACCCCGTAAGGGTCAGTAAAACCACGATCAATACTGTCGATATGATGATGATGATGATGATGATGATGATGATGATGATGATGAAGCTATTCATGCCTTGAGTACAAGAGAGATGGGAACAGAATAGAACTTCTTCTTACCCTTCCCTGTTGTACTCCGGTAAGTCTGAGAGCGTGTGCCAGGCGTTGTTTTTCGGGTCGTAACAGTCCACCTTGGCCAGCTTGGTGTCGCCTCCGCTGCAGCCGCCCACCACGACCATCGCCTCCGAGATGTCAAAACACGGACGGGGCTTCATCCGGATGTTCGGCTGATCTGAGGGGGAGATTGTTCAGCAAGATTAGGTTACTTTGCGGTAGTTGCTTCGGGAACGTCATAAAACTCAGACGTTTAAATCTCCCCTTCCAATGGACGCAACTCATTTTAATGCACCCTTTTACGAACCATCTTTAAAACTTCCCTGTTTCACGCCCAAATATTCTGCTGCAGAAGCTTCTACACAATCTCCAAGCAGATTCTTTGATGCATGGCTGCAAAGACCGTATCAGTATCCATTTTCCAGAGTGTCCAATACCCCTGACACATCCACTTAAATGCATCTATTTGTTGCAGACACTTCGTTGGCACATCAGTGCATTCGATCGAACAATATGCGACATTTCCTTGATAGATATGAGTGTGCCCATTGTGCCCAAGTTAAGTATCTACCTGCTCTATCATAGTCGAAGACGTGGTAGCGCCGTGCCTCCTGTACCAGCTCCATACAGGCGGGAGAAGACAGGATGAGCGGCTCTGTCTCCACCTTCGCCACCAGGTACCGCGGGTTGATGAACGGCAGACGGACGTGCTCCAACACCTTGTGTAAGATGCTGAGCCTGCAGGTGGAGGGTACGACTTTTAATTATGTTTACCGAAGGAAAACGTGTTCTTGTTGCCCAGTTTCTTCTTCTACTCCAAACAAATAAGGTAAATGACCCGAACCAGACGTCTGTGATCACCATGGTAACTAGTGTTGCCATTTTATAGCAAGAGGGATTTAGATCCCTGTCCGACCATATATTTATGACTGTTTTTGAGTAAGAATTACCATATCAGACCATATGCAAAGGTCAACATTATGCATTTGCTCAATACAAATGTTACCTTTCTAGTTCATTGCTCTTTCTTCGCTGTGTGTTCTTTTTTTTCCGTCCAGTATTGAGCTTCAACACGTACCTATTGTCCACGTCTGCGCGAACCCACTGCATGACTGACTCATACACCTGTTCCTCCTTGTCAATCTGTAGGTTCACGTCAGAGATGTACTCCACCAACCTCTCCTGGGTAACCTGGGAACGAGACGGGAACAACGGATCATAATCAATGGCCATACAGACTGGTTTGCTGCTAATCACCTTGTCTGGTAACATTACCCCTTTGGTCGGGGTGGAAATTATCAGTCTACACATTCATGTTAGCCTCTAACAAATTTTACGGAATTTATTCATAGAAAGGAGGCATCCAACGGCAATACAACAAAGTGAGATACATTCAGAGCAACACCAAGTTACACAGCAGGCGTTAGCGAAGTATCTCTAATTTTCAGGACAACCTACCTGTAAGAATTCCCCGGACGTCTGGAAAACCTCCAGGAAGTTGTCTATGACGAACTCCTTGGCGAGTTCGGACAGCTCGGTGCAGTTGTGCGCCTCCGCGAACTCGTGGAAGCCCAGCACGTTACTGGCGTCTATCCTCTGCTGAAGGTACCGGCTGCACGCCTCGCGAACCGTGCCGAACTGGAACAGGTTAGCCGCCTCCAGAAGCGCTTCCACGTTCTTCTGGGTGATGTCCACTCGGCCTAGGGACGGAAAGAAGTCTGTGAATAACTCAAATGGAAAAGGGTGAAAAGGAGGACCTTCAATTTATGCAGTCATATTGCAGCCTAGGTATGGGTGCCCCGGTATGCAAGTAGGACGGTAGCCAGACTAGTCATATTGTGTGGCTGGTGTGTGAATTATAGTCAAATGTGCACGTGATAGGTATTATTCAATGAACAAAGACGTTTGAACTAAATAAAAATGCACTCTTCTGATGCTACTATCTTGCAAATAATCTTTCCATGTTCTTGATTTCTGCAGGCAGTCATCCAATTAACTACAGTCTTGCCAACGAAGCCAGATCCTGACACCAGATCATAGAAGACAAGGAACGTAGAAGACATGGAGAGGACTGTGTGATCTAAAGCTTTTCATGGAGTCACTATATCACAAAGGGTTTCCATAACACAAGATGAAGATCCATATGACTACGTGAAGCTGTACGTTCTTCTTAAAATGCACGCTTACACATGATGTGATGCTAACTTTACCCGTGTAGGAGAACTCCAGGAGCAGTTCCATGATGCTCTCGGACACGGAGTGGATGACGATCTTGGTGGCGAGACTCTCCCGCAGCTCGCCGGAGAACATGGCCTTAAAGTAGCTGCTGGCAGACGCAAGGACCACCTGTAGGGTTTGTCAAGAGCGCAGGGGTTTTCAAGATATCACAGTATAAAGGAACATTGCTCACAGCCCAAATGGAAGACATACCATTTATATTTCAAGTGCTGTAAAATACACAACGGAAACATTACAATGTCGTTTTTTTATTTATATATATTCTTACTTCTTCTGTCGCTTTCATCTGCAATATTTTTCCTACCCATATTCCACCACGTATCTGTTATCACTAGAGTTAATATCACCTCAACATACTCGGAATACTCTACGTGCTTATTTCAGAGTCTTTCTGGCAAAGAACCAGACATGCATAGACGACATGTTAACATTTTAGACGACCCACCAATTGAACTTTACAACATCTGTACCCAAAAGAGTTACTGAGTATGTAATTAGTAATCTCCAAGCAGATTCTGTGGGGCAAGGGGAGTCTATATTGGCCGCCTGTATCCATTGGCCGTCCCTCGTACTCAATGGATACACGCGGCCAATATAGACCCCCCTTGCCCCACGGAATCTGCATGGAGATTAGATAATTAGTACACCCTACCCTGTGGCAGGGGAACTCGGTGGCCCCCACACAGATGATGACGTCAGAGAAGCGGCATTCCTTGCGCAGCTCCTGTAGACCGGACATGAGGTGGTCGGGATGACCCGGGTCTTGGAACGTGAAGACGTCTTCCTCGTTCGCCATCTTCTTCTGCTGAGATGTGCCCGACAGTGTGGACGTCTCCGAGTTCAATGTGTTCAACAGTTTCTTGTTGTTCTCCTGTATTAGAAATAAAATGAAACTGTTCAACAAATATCTTAATCGTTATTGACATCTTAACCCAGTCAGCAGCGAGCTGTCTACGTCATCGTTTCACACGCTTCCTGAAGGAAAGAAATTCTAAATTAATTTTCTAGCGTCAAGTATTGGACACGCGATATAATTTTTATAGGGAATCATGACTATCTTAAATTGAGAAATACTGCTTCAGGTACACTGTAGGAGAACAAATGTACATGTATACAAGCGGGTTTCTCATTCACAGTATGTGGGAAATTGGGAATGTAAATTATCCTGAAAATAAACGGTCGTCTTTGGAATACAGGGGCATGCGATGGATCACAACAACAACGCTCTGTAGATCCTCTACAATCAACAGTCGTGCCGCAATTGTATCACACACATCATGACGTGCTTCAAACCAGCACCGCAACACTTCGGAAGCTTTATGCAGCGTGCGTCCAGAACGCATGTCGTAAAAAAAGTTTGTTTCAAAACAAGCTCACTGCACATCATCGTGCATTGTTTGCCATCACGCACTTTAAATCATCAAATGATAACTCCAGACTGCCAGACGACCATAGAAAGTGTAAAACCTACACTGTTAGTAGCGTTACTAGGGACCCAGTTCGCCAATCTTGTTTGTACGCCTCCCATACAAAAATGCCCAGAGTGTTGTTTGGCTGGACTACACAACCATCAACCACACTCTGAAACATAACAAGTCAGAGCAAACTAATCTCCAAGCAGATTTATCGGTGGCATGGGAGTGGGCAATTTCGTTGGCTTTTTACATTTTATGCCCACTGTTATGTCACCAGTAAATCTGCTTGGAGATTAAGAGCAAACGTCACACACAACTTTACCGACGACGTCTTCCTGTGGCGAGGACGCCGCCTGGCCGACGGGCCGTATCCAGGAAGATGTAGAAAACCAAACATTACGACCTAATATCTTCAAGACGTTTCGCTGAAAACAAGTCTTCAACCTGCTACATCTCAGAAGCAACTGCGCCACGAAGAGATGCTACATTTCGGCATGCAAGCAAATATTTGGTTTGGACGGACGTTCAGATTACATACAGCGGGACTGAGTAGCGCAGTTTCCGCCGTCACCAGAGTCCAGACAGGTCCCTTGATGAATATTTCCACGAGCTTCAAATATCTGCGTGTCCTTTACAGACTGACGTGAACACAGTCAGAGACCTCGTGCCACAAAATTGCTAATTGAAGTTTTGGAATATTTTCCACAGTGTTCCTCTATTGCAGAAATCAACAATCATTGATTGGGCACCGTGTAAACACAGTATGTTGTTATTAAAGGGGGTAGTTTTTCAAAGCGTCGTCGATTGTCGTGTCAGTGAAACAAACTAAAATTTATCACCAATGACGTATACGTAGCCAAGGCGACCAGGAAGTACAAAATGGTAATCCTATATGAGGACATACTGAACCTTGACCTATTGTATTCGGTGTTTATGATGGTCTAATGCGTGGGAAATGTACCAATATGCCTCGTGACTGTTAATCACTGTGTTTCTGCGTCACAGTCATTGCGCACATCATAACAAAAATAAGTAGATCAACAACACGTTCAACAATATAATTCATGAATCGTATAATCACAAAAGACACTAATATGATAACAGCATTTATAGCCCTACATGTCAAACATCGTGATGCTATGAGAACCAATAAGAAATTATGAGCATTGAGAAGACGAAGTGTTGAATCGGTGACGTATTGACAAAAGTTGGCTATAGACGTTTTTCTGTTTGTTTCTGTCCGCGTCCCAAATGAGACAGGTCACGCCGGACAATGTCAGGAACGCGCCACACAACTATCCGTGACGGGGACCGATCAGCTGTGCAGGCGTCTCTCAAACACTGACTAACCCTAGATCCCACCCCTGTAATACAATGAACATCCCCCAAGCTTCATCACAGGAAAAGGATCGGGTTATTAGGAGCAGACCAACACTTCCCATATTTGACACAAGTTGCGTCATATGTGGAACCAGAGTCGTGCCATGGGATGGCGCACGCCGAAATGGTCCAGCTCTGGGGAAGAACCAAATGTACCACATGCGAGATGAGCAAAATATCGCCATTATATATAAACTTACTTGTATTGATAATTTGAAAACATTTATAACAGCAAGATTAACCCCAATAGAATAGTGTTAAACAGAAACGTTGAGGTTAATATTGCACGTATATAATTTGCCATAGAAGCGTTTCAACGGCCTACACTACTCGCTCGGTTAAGTCGCGTTCGTCGATAGGTTACCGCATCTCATCAATACTATGACAAGACTACAAAGTTATCTCAGAACCCCACGAATTTAATCCTAAAACTCGGTATATTTGAGTCTTACATTATTTCAAAGACCACACACCCATGCATTATGGAATGGACGGTCCCCACCCGTATCACATACGTGTCTGGGGACCAGCAATCCCCGACTTAGACAAACATTGACCAAAATAAAATCCATTCATAGAAACCTTACAATAAAAATTCGGGGTGATGTTTGCAAACTTTGTGTCTATGAGGAAGATCTGGAGGTATTTAGAACATACACGTCAAACATCTGTGCTACATATTTAGTCTGTGCTACTACCCTGCTTTTGCAAACTTTTCTACGGACGGCACTTTCACGCCGACACCCTTCTGTAAGGACCCATCAGACCCTGCTAGTTTGACGTTCAAAAATACGTCCGTTCTGCTTGAATGATGTACTTACAGATGTAACAACGCCACGTACAAAACCGCTACTTTGCAGGCCGCCTCTCTGTTGATGTCTTCCTGAAAATTCTGTGCCGACCGGCGGGCGACTACTCAGCTGTCCGCGTCACTCACTACAGCGGGCGATACGTCAGAGTACGTCACCGCAGCCAAACGAACAAAATCTCTATCTCTGCTCCGTTACAAAAAAAACTCAGTCTCTTGCTTCAACAAACCGGTTACGGAAATGCGTTTCTATCAAATAATACACCTGTGTGGCTCAGCCGTTATAAATCCATGACAGATATAAGGAGACCCTAAGCTTGGCTATCAATAGATTGTTATTAGCCTCATCATGTGAGGGATGCCTGACTAGACCCTCCCTGTTTCGTAGCTTGTTATCGAATACTGTTGTGTTCAGGCTGTTGAGGTCATAACAGGATATGATTTCAACATTTGACGGGTACTTTTCGATCTCTGTTTATCTAGGTACTTAGGATAGTAATGTCTACCCTATTCTTGTCGTGTTTCCGGATCCTACTTTGATTGGTCGCCAAACTCTTAGTCTATTCCAGCGAAGTTCTATAAGACCTACTATCCGGATCTGTCATGACTAATGCGCAGAAAGCAGAAATCGATATGAAATCCAAAGTTACAGCGTTGTGACAAAGACTGAGACAAAAGTTGTAGCGTATGGGAAGTTACAGATCTGTGTGCCCCTGTATTACTTCACGTGAGCGTAGCCTCGTAAAAGGGGTCTTCTACGTAACACGGAAACCTTGAAGCGTCACCATGTGGTTATCTTCCGTACTGCAGCCACGGTGAAACCTACGCCATAAGATATATACCAAGCGATGTACGGGGTACAGAATTTTGGCAGCATATGGTGACGATGCGCAAAAGGGAATGCGTCAACAACATGACTATCATAAACAACATTGACACCATGTCCAAACGGCACTCTTAAACATGAAAACTGAGTAACCCCGCCCGTAACAAGAAACATTGGTTCTAAATACCTTTAGAGGATCATCCGACATACCAATGGACAACACTAAGTTATAGGCTATACTACTAGTAATGTATTCCTCTTTGCCGAAACGTGAATTTTTCGGCATCTTCAATTCTCTATAGCATATGTGAGTAATTTTGAAAACTCTCCAATGTGTACGATTTCAGTAACCATTCGACCTTGTCCTTCGAGCTAGTTACAGAAATAACAACCCTGGTGGGGCAATATTTCATGAACGGCAGCAAACACACAAACAAACAACCACCTATAACTAAGGCATTAATGTACTCTTAAATTCGTCCAGTAGTTCCAAATGTGAAATGTTAAGGCCCAGTTTCATTCTTCACGCAATCGATGATAACTCACACGATGCAATTACCACCCCTCATCTCGCATACACAGTAACGGCAGTATTCAAATCGACACTGCGTCATGAATGATCGTTGAGTCCATGCGAGTAGCACTTTTAGTGAAAAAATTGCAGCACGTAAAGATGTTACGGACTTACTTGCGGAATTACGAAGACATCGTAGACGGTTTGCTCGCCCCAGAAGAAATCTCCACTCATACCGTTGGAGGAGGCTACTAGTACATCATACCGTTACAAATAGATATATATGGGATGTACCATTTTCCATCACAGGGATGTTGAAATCAAATTGAGGACAGTCACATTGGTAGCTAGAGAGGTCCTCGAGTTCCTTTGAAATACCTGTGATGATTATGCAAGAGCCTATAGACGAGACAGATGCGCATACCAATTGCCTATGATTGGTGCTTTAATACCCCTCAAAATATATGCAAGCCATATATTACTATAAATATAAAATCTGATACACAGTGGCCCTATTTTGTCTCAGCACTACACGTAAACAACATTATTAAAGCATCTCCCACTGCATCAGTATGCAAGGTATTGTGAATGGCATAGCCTCTAATAGAGGACATCATACAGGCATTGCGACTGCACCCACGTACCAATGTGACCGAAGGGGAGGTTAACGTTTATTTTAGTGTGTGTACAAAGGACAACAGCAGTGATGAGTGGTTCACCCCGTAAAAACCGAGTACAGTTTTCAGATATGTCGACTAACACCCGGTAACCTTAACGGGACAGCGCGGATTCTTAAATATGTGGGTCGTAAAAATCTAGGTTAACGAGGAAACCATCTGTAATTTTACGTCAACTGTTAGCTCTGTAACAAGCGTTGCCATGTTTACTTTACAAACATCGAATCTAGTAACTGAAGTCATTTTAAGTAGTTGTATTAGAAGTCCAGCATTTGTATCTTAATTTTGGACGGACTTTACATTGCCTGTGTCTGAGGCTGTAAGGATTACTGTCGATTACTCAAGTTTGTGTGACTGCCGTGTCAACATGAATCGCTAGATGTCGTCCGTCTCTCGTGGACAGTTTTTTTGTTACATATCCAACGTTTGCAAAGTACACAACAAAGTAGACAATGAACGCTGCTAAGAAATGATAACGTGTATATGAAAATTAAGACACACATGTTTGTATAGTAAAATTTAGATGCGATCCTACAATTTTACTATTATGTGAATCTTTTCCCAAATGCACCGCTATGTGCAGATTAGAAACCAAGATGGCGGACGAAGAAGTCGAGAAAACGTACCGGTGGGAGGGAGATTATGAGAAAACTTGGTAAGTCTGATCAACATTTATCACTTAAGTATGATTGAAAATCACAAGTAATGTATACACGTTCATGTTGACCTCCGTATGGGCTTATGCGTCGCAAACGCGAGATGCCATACTTCGTTTTGAATGTGATCTGGGGAGGGGGGCAGAATTCGAGCTCATGCGGACCGCTCATGCATGCATGCGCATGGCTATAGTATGTACCTTGAGAATGCCTGTACTAGACATGGTATTGTGTTGTCGTTAACTATAGAGGTCCGCATGGGTAAGACAGAATTTTTGCACATTTTTGTAGTAACCATTCCACATCGAGAAGTTGCCAGATGGACTAAACACAGCCTCTAAAACATCACAAAGGTACAGTAGTCTGCCTGTGAAACCTCACTCACTGTTTCTACTAGTACTAGTGATTTGGAGAACTCTTTCTATCTACTAGTATGTTTAGGGTTTAATGTTGTTAATGCTGCCTCCTGACTTTGCAGGGAGGTACTGCAGGAGGATGCGGCAGGTTCACTCCAGGCCAGTGTGGATGACATCATCCATAGGGCCAAGAGGAGGAGGTAAGGTCATTGACCTTTCTTCATGAAGTTCATCTGATTATTTCCGACCATAATTTGTACCCATTTGATGCACACGACATTGGTTCATTGTGACCTCTTAAAACGGGAAATAAACACTTGCACTGTTGTGTCAGAAAGTTGATGCTAAGAGTATTTTGGATAGAATGCTGGAAAATGTAATACATGTATGTCTGAATATGACAGCCTTTTTTATTCCATTCTTTTTCTAGACTGCAGGATAGACAGCTCAATGTTCGACTGGGGATGGTGAGTTATACATTGGTGTACCAGTATTAATCTGAACCAACTCATTCTGTGTGTACATATAAGCCTTTAATGTTATATACTAGGGCTGTACATTACTGGACATTCAGTCAGTCAGACAGTCACCCATCTGAAATAACTCCACTCGAAAAAACATTTATCTTGAATTTAAGGAACAGATTTCCTTACATGACTGCTCTGCTGTACCAACCTTTCTGTTGTCACACCTCTCCCAGATGAGACACCTGTTTGTGGTTGTGGACATGTCACAGTCTATGGAAGACCAAGACCTCAAACCAACAAGAATCCTGGTTACCCTTAAGGTAAGGCTTACATTCAAAGGGGAAATGAATTCCTCGCATATAACATCCATGTCCATAATATCACCAGGGTCCATAATATCGTCACCTTGAGAAATAGTGTGCTTTAAGATATTTTTACTGCAACATACTTTTGGTATGTACTCCTTCACACATCAAATGTACATACCTAGGGTATGTTGCAGTAAAAATATCTTTAAGTACACTTTTTCTCAAGGTGGCGATATTATGGACCCTGGTGATATTATGGACACAGATGTTATACCCAGAAGTGGAATTCACATGGTAGAATTTTTTTCATAACTACCAGTACTTTTGTAAACCAACCTGTGTCTGTTTTTTTTAATATGTACTTGCTTTTTGATAAATCCAGTTGTTCATTGATTACTTTCCTTTTCCGAAGACTTCAACTCACATTTGCATATATTACAAGACATAAGCAATCACTCCTTACACTTATACTCCTTCCTTTCTTTTCAGTTACTGGAGAATTTCATAGAGGAATATTTCGACCAGAATCCCATTAGTCAGGTAGGACTTCTATTACTCTTTGCCTGTAGTTTATAAATACATTTAAAACATATATGTCATTTTGCTCCTTTACATTTGAACAATGTTACAATTACAAGATCCTAACCTAAACATTTGATTCCATAAGTTTAATCACACTGGATTAAGAATCATGTCACACCTTTAGGTCACTTCCTAATATCAAGTTTCCTATGGTAAAGGGATCTGTAATTGTCTATCTCAGTTAGGCATCATCACGACTAAGAACAAGAGGGCAGAGAAGCTGACAGACCTGGGAGGGAACCCCAAACGTCACATCACCCAGCTGAAGACACTAGCCAACACCTCGTGTGTCGGGGAACCCTCCATCATGAACTCACTGGACCTAGCAGCACAGACACTCAAGTACGGCATTCTTCAACACTTTGATAGAGACTTTACTTTTCAGCCATTACCAGGATACAATATACAGTTCCTTACTATGTTGGTTTGATTTGTTTTAGTGAAGTGACTTACAAAGGCAGTATTTCAGTTCTAGACAAATTGACTGGATTGAAAAGCCTCAGGCATTAACCCTCGGCATCATACCAAGAAGAGCAGGGGTTACCCGGTGTGCTTGGCTGAAGACATGTGCTACAGTGAATCTGCATTGCACTACTGCTGACTAGACGAAAAAGCATCAAGCTTCACCTCAGCTGGAATGACTGCTTCAACTTTTTACTCTCCCTAACCCCTTGATCATTACACTGACACATGCCTGAATCCTGTATCCCCCCCCCCCCCAGACACATGCCGACCCACACCAGTAGGGAGGTGCTGATCATCATGGGCAGTCTCACCACATGTGACCCTGGGGATATCAATATCACCATCAAGGTCAGACAGTTTTCTTCAGAAAGTATGATATATATATACTGTATAAGCCTTTTCTGGGGCTTCACTACATAAAGCAGTACCTTGTCACTGAGCAAGATACCCTGTAAGAGTAAGGAAATAAATGGATCAGTTTAAACTGGTCAAAATCTGTGTTTTAATCATCCTTTCAGCACACAAGAAAAGATCAGACAGTAAAGATGGAAGACTTCTCTGAGTCTGATTGTGATGTACCATTGTTGATTTCCTACATTTGTACTTCTTTTCCCATGTGTTATAGATGGTGAAAGACTTGAACATCAGGTGCTCAGTGATTGGCCTGGCAGCTGAGGTTCAAGTTTGCAAGAAACTGTGCAGTACAACAAATGGTAAGATACATGTAGACACTCTAAAACTGGACACTACACGTTCTATTGTTTCAATAACCACTTAAATGTAATTGCATGACTTTGACTGAAGCTTTTGACATTAAAAAATGTTTTACACTGAGCTTCTTACAAATGATATTTACTTTTATTTCTAGGAACCTACAGCATTATTTTAGAAGACACACACTTTAAGGACTTGTTACTGGAACACTGCACCCCTCCCCCTGCTACTGTAAGTGCTTTCTGAGTTCTTTCCAAGTTTTTAAGAACACATAGCTAGGGGCTTGATGTTATATCATACATATGGAACATTGTGCATAAAAGACCTTCTATTGTGTGCATTTCCTTACATCATATCGTTCAGTTGTATGGATCAAGTATGTTTTAGAGTGTTGAGTATTTTTTGTATTTTATAGGTCAACACAGATTCCTCATTGATAAAAATGGGTAAGTCACACAAAGTTTCAGTATTAGTATTACTAGGTAATCAGCTTAGTGGTCATTTTATAAGTAGATACATACTGTAAATGCTCTTACCATAGATGTACAACTGTGAAATCATATGTAGATAGAAGATTGGAGTAATCATTAAGTCTGTATGTAAGTAATGATGAATTTTTATTCTCCAGGTTTCCCTCAGCATACTGTAAGTCAGGACCATGATAGTGTCAAACCATCTATGTGTATGTGGTGAGTACACAGTTACTGCATATTACTATTATAGAAACGTGTATTTTATGACTGCCTGTTTGCCTCGAAATGATTCTACAGGTTCTACTTATTTGCAAACTACCATATGTGAACATCAAAGGTTTAACTAGTGCCCCCTTTCTGTTTTTCTCTGCATTGCAGCCACCAGGATACAGAAGCCCAGTCCTTCACTCCATCTGGATATTTCTGTCCACAGGTACATGTAAAATCAGTCCATTTAGTCTTATCATAGGCAACTCCTTGATGGTCCCATAAAATAAATCACAGTTTGGTCATGATCAGTCGTTTTATCTTTAGTCAAGTGTTCGAAAGCAACAATTGGTTTCATTTTTTTTCTCCAGTGATATTCAGATGTTTTCATGTTGTTTTCTGCAGTGCCATGCCAAGTACTGTGAGCTACCTGTGGAGTGTAAAATCTGTGGTGAGAAAACACATGATTACTAGTAGTATTCATTACCCTCACGTTAACAACTAAAAGCTAATTTTCTACTCAAAGGAATAGTTGATCATATTCACTATGTGTCACTGCTGTGACTGTTTTAAAACAATAAATTAAAACAATAACTATGATAGTCACTGTTATCCCTCAAATGTGAAGTATGTTTCCTCAGTGCAAAACTCTGACAGCATTCTGTCTTGGCAGTCTGGCCAAAAAAAAAGAACAAGTTTGAAAGAACTAAGTCTCTTTGTTGTCCCAACCATGTTTCCTCCAGGGTTGACTCTAGTCTCAGCCCCACACCTGGCACGGTCCTACCATCACTTCTTCCCCCTGGAAAACTTCCGGGAAATTCCTTTAGAAGAACTCGACTCAGAACTTTCCAGGTACAAACTTCTACTATATAACTTCTTTTTAATTTTGTTTTTGAGTAACTGTAAAGACAAAAATGTTGTATTAGACCCAGTAACATAAAGTTCTGATGTCAATAATGATATTTTTTACCTTTTCACTTTTTCTAGATTTTGTACGGGGTGCCAGGTACAGCTGAAGGGACCTATGGTAAGTCTGGCCACATTTGTAAAAAATTATCAAAAATTCTAAAGCAATCAAGAAAAAAAACATTTACTGACTGTGTAAAACATCATTACCGGTAAATCCACTACACAAGGAAACAGCAACTCATGCAACTGGATTTTGAAAACTGTCAGACATTTCAAGTACATGTAACATCAACTACTTCTCATCTGTGACTAACAGAATCTGTGGTTAAACAGGTATTCTCTGTAGATATTTACTTAATGAATATATGACTGTAATGAATATTTTCTTCCACATATATGTACATAATAATATATATCTATGTGCTTCCAGGTGTACTGTTGTACCAGGTGCACACGGCCATTCTGTATCGACTGTGATCTCTTCATCCACGAAACTCTCCACTCCTGTCCTGGCTGTATTAACAAGAGGATAGGGCCCAACTCATCATAGGTTTGTATATGCTAACTGAAAAAAAAAACAGTGCCTAACTCTTCAGATGTTAGGACATATTACATGTAGGTGGAACATATATGTTGCATTGAGCATAGATCAGGAATCAGTCTCGTGCATGTAGATGTTGTCCATCCAATTTGATGAAGACCTTGACTTCTATCCTCAGTTGCCCTAACACAGTCAGTCCAGGCATGGCTTTACACTGTTGTATATTCCTAAGTATAGTGTATTTAGCCACGAATAGTGCCAGGCTTGACAAAAGTTGAAATGTGATATGTGTAACATATTCAGCACAGAGCCAGGGTCATATATGTTGATTACTATTCCACAAGTGTAACCTGTTTAGTGCAAACATGGCACCGCCCCTCAGAGTGTGGTATTTGATGGGAATCCATGCTATGTATTCAGCCGATGTTATACAGTTCAGAATACCGGTAAACAAAATTATTTTCTGTTAGTAAATGCTAAGAGAAGCATTCCCATCTCAGAGAAGAGAGGGATTTTGTACAGTATGTGGAGCACATGTTCAGCTTGATGCATCTCTGCAGTACTGCTTTAAAGTGCTAGGTGTCTCAGCTAAAATACTAGTTCTGTGGAAAGGTTCTGAGCAGCTAAAGACAACTGAAGTGGCAATGTTTTCAATGGTATCCCATACTAGCAATCAGCCTCCAAAACATCCAGGATAGACTTTGAAATACATGTACATTACGTATTCAAAACCTACCTCACATTCTTTTGCACAGAAGCATTACCATATTTTGTCAGTACAAAGCTGGTAAACATTTTAGGCCTGGACATCTGGTATTTCATTCATGGTCATTAACACTGCCATAATTAATTCAGACCCACAAAATGACTTAAACTGGACTGCAAATGATAATGATGGTGACAAAATGACATAAACATGTGTTAAATCAGTGTATCTAATTTCCCATATAACACCAACAGATCAAGGTTGTGAAAAAATTCCCTCATGAAGCATGTAAGCACAGCTATAATATATGTATGTGTCTGAAATGTCAAATGGGTAAGCAAGTAAAAAACCTTTACTCACAGTTGTATACTACTCATGGTATCAAAGCTACATACCAAGTTCTGACAAATTTATCATTGTTGTCGCAAATTTTCTGAAACTCACTTTATCATTAGGTGTTATATACACGTAGCTTGAATTCTATTTTTCAGACTTTCACATCAATAAAGTACAACCATTTGTGTATCACTCTGGCAGTGTTGCCTGTCCCCTAGCACACATGTGTTGGATGTATTTGTGAGTGGATGTCTGGCTGGATGGAGAACTCCCCTGCCTCTCTTCACCTTGTGGGAGGTAAAACCTCTGATATCCTAGCAGGGAAGATGGGAATCCCACATTTCTCCTGACCTGGAAAATTTCTTTTATATGAATGACGAAGACACATCTATCCAAAATTATACATTCTAGAAATCTCATCATTGTCATCTTTCAGTAGAGTTTCTTGACTGAAGTGGTGGTGATATTTTCTGGCCGTGTTTGTGTTGTTAGGGCTGGTTAGCCATGCGAACATGTGCTAGTTTAGTCATGGCCTAGACATGAAGAACAACATGTACTGGACCAGGCTGGAATAGCAGTTCCACTCCCCTGACCTTGACGGGCTGGGTCAAGAGGTTCCAGAGGTAGCTGTGGGGTGAGCTGAAACATGGGGTGGGAGAATTCGGACAAGTAGAACTGTGCCCCATTTAGGAAGCGTTGGTCTAGGGTGTACGTCATAGTACATTTTTGTTGCATGGTCCATGTGACTTATAATTTACTATCCTCCAAGCAGAGGTTTGGTTTGGAGCTTGGTTAATAAGAGTGGAGAGTGGCTAATAAGGAATGGTCAGGATATTTAATGCTGCCCTCATGGATTCAAATTCTTCATCCTGTGCATCTACTAATGATTGATGATCATTTCCAACTTAAGTATTTTCCGTCAAATTTTATTAAAAAACTTGTATCATTCTACATTTTTTATGTTTTCACAAAAAAAGGTCATATACCATAATGGTCAATAGTGAGTTTCCTTGATTTATTGCCATTACTCCAAGATAGATCATTGAAGAGTGTCCTAAAACCGTTCTGTCCAGTCCAGATACTCCCAAATACTTCTGTAATCCTCCTTTTAGATAGAGCCTACAAATTTCTACCTCAGAGGTCATCTCTGTAGGCCAGTAAGGTCAGTGATGTCATTGACCCAGCTAGGTCCAGTTCATGTTGATGGGAAGAGAATTAAGGTTGAAAGTGATCCAAATGTTCAGAGAAACCAGGGAATTTTACAAAGAATGTTCAGATGAGATACAGATAAAGCACAACCTCTGGAACATCTGACTCCAACGATATTGAATATCATAAGCTCACTGGTTTGATTATCAATCTGTTCCCTTGATTTACCATGAAATATAAGGCATCTTGTATTACCATTTTGTATGACAAGAATAGAGAGAGACACAGAGAGGGTAGAGAGTAGAAGCTTTGGCTAGTAGGACATCTGTCCAGAATACTCTCATTTCATTAGCTTTCATGTACCAAAGGGGTCTGGAGAGGCATCCCTGGTCAGATTAATGCCTGGTCATGTAAATTGTGTAGGTTTTCTCAAACCAAACTTGGACATTGTGTGCAGGGTTTGTTGTTTCTCCAGGGTGTTTTCAGCCCACCCTACTATGCCAGGAATCCCAGCTGTCTCCATTGTTATGTCTTATCCACAAACAGCATTTTTGGGGTCACTTCCTCACGACAGAAGGTCGAAGGTCAGGAGGTGGAGTTGAAGTGATTTTCCCAATTTCTCGCATGACTGCGGGGAATTATGGTATCAATAAAGCAGGTAATGGGATCAGTGGGTGAATGTGTTCCAATAAGTGCACATGTGCTGACAGGATGACCCCTACTTATATCACTCTTTGTCAGGGAAATGTGGTTGTAAATTTATACGGGATGGTCAAGATAGATCGGGGGTTTATGGAAAAAGGAGTCCAGTCCGATTGGCGGAAAAAGCAGTCCAGTCCGATTTTGGTTTCTACCAAATTTTACGAAAGACCATAGGCACAATTTTTTCTTGTGTGTATACTTCTAGTTTCTTTGGGTACTTCGAGTTTCTATGAGTACTTAGAGTTTCTATGGGTACTTAGAGTTTCTATGACTATTTAGAGTTTGTATGGGAACTTGAATTAGCATATATGTGACTCTCTATATGCCGCCTTAACCCAATTCAGGCAGCCTTGGGACAACTGATTTACACCTCTTGGGACCACCGAAAAGTAGTTTCTATACATACAGGTCACCTATCCACAATAAACAAAAGTTAATTATTAAGGGATTCTTTCTTACAATTGTACTTCCGGTACTTACATGATTGTGGGTGTAATGCAAAGTCTGCCATACGTGGCTTTAGCAGGGGTCGGCTGGATGTTGGGCAGCTGGCAACCGTAAAGCGATTTAATCAGGCTACTTGCAAGCAGGATCGGCCCTGGAAATCTCGTCAGTTGACCGCTTCATCTTTTGACTAATCATTATTACTTATATGTAAGTAATAATCCGGAGGCATGATGATGATATGTAAGTTACAGACTGTAAGTTCCCATGCAAACTCTAAGTACTCATCATAGAAACTCTAGGTTCCCATACAAACTCTAAGTACTCATAGAACTCTAAGTACCCATAGAAACTCGAAGTACTCATAGAAACTCGAAGTACCCATAGAAACTAGAAGTACACGCGCAAGAAAAAATTGTGCCTATGGTCTTTCGTAAAATTTCGTACAAACCACCGGACTGCTTTTTCCACCCCAAAATCGGACTGGACTCCTTTTTCCGTAAACCCGATAGATCGGATGGTCAAGATCAGGGACTTAATAAGAAAGGGGGGTTGAAGAAATCTTCAAGCAGAATCTATGGTGGCAAGGCTGTAACCCACTGTCCAATCTGCCAAAAGGCTGTGACCATTAGCCACTTTGGGGGCTAGTGGTCACTCCTTTGGCCAATGTTTACAACCATGCCACCATATAAGAGCTGCTTGGAGATTAAGGTAGGTTGAAGACCAAAAACAGTTAACTACATGTAATCTTTGTGAGTATGAAATATTTGCAGCTGAAAAATGATGGCCAATGCCACTGTAATGAACTTGTATTGTCATATTTGTATAATCCAAGTATTACAGTAATTACAAGCGGTTGAGAGGATGGTCACCTGGTTGATGGAGGCTCTAAGACATTGACTAAGATTGTGGTCCAAACCAAATTGCAGCTTTGTCTCTCTACAGCAGATGCAGTACAGTGATCATCACTCCAGGGCTCATAACCTTGTGAAAGAATGGCAAAGCCAAAGGGCAGAAGGGCTATCTGGTGTCCTGCCTCTTTCACAGGGAGCAGCTTCATAAACACACATATCTGGCATTCTTGTGTTTTACTAGGACTAAATGTCAAGTGGCTTGTGTGTCATTACAGGTCTAAAAGGTATATACAGCTCAGACCCAAGTCGGCTAACTTTGCCATCCTATGGTTTGTTTTGTGTTCTCTCACTTAGTCGTAACCAGCCTTTTTTTAAGGGGGCCTGCATGGGGGGGGGGTCCCGACAACGCTCTACACTGAATTCGGAAACCTCTCGATTACTACGATAAATTCCAAGTGGCTACAACTCATTACGTAGAATTAAAACGGCGAATACGCTCTACACAAAATGCGCCAATTACGCTCTACGTTGAACTTGAGCAGTCCGTCTACGCTCTACGTAGAAGTAAAATGGCCCATTACGCTCTACGGAAAAGGGCATGCGGGCCCCCTTTTAAGTACTACAGGTGGTTCTGAACCTCATGTACTACGTACATTTCTGAGTTTCGCAACAGGTAAACATCTACTCAACACCTGTAAATTATCTTCAAAACAAGAGGCAAAACAAGAAATGGAGACATATGCAATTAATTTTGTATTGTGCTTGCAATAAAAAGAAAAGTTTATGACTTGCATAGGTTTAGTAAAGTTTTGTGCTGG